TCTATCGTTTGAGTTTCTTTCTAGAATAATTATCAACATAAATAGTAGTTTTGAGTGCCTTTTCACGTTCATCCTTGCCTATATTCATTCCTTTCTCGTCTCCTCTTTCATCTTTTCTATAGGATTTCTTGATATAGATTACGCATGGTTCTAATTGTTTCTATTTTCCCTGGAAAGACAACTTTTACAGAAGTTTCAAATGCATTAATGTTACCATCTCAGGTTAGATGAGTCTTGGAAGAACTTGACATGAACTGTGTCTGTAGCTCAATTATGTTTTCTTATAAGTACTATGTGAAATTTTGTCGCTTCTCTGGCAGTATTTTTATTTTGGTTTTTATTAAAAATAGATGATGTTTTTGTACAAATTCAGTTGGCATATTATTATGAGGATGAAGGCTCCTAAAGAAGGTTCTTGTGATCCCATTGCTCCTCTTGAACTACCCCATTCTTTGCATGCATTTCATCGTGTCTCTCAAACGGACACATTGAATATGGTGAGCTCTTGTTCTGTCCTTTATGTTTATGTCTGCTCATGCTCCTGTTCTCTGTTTTATTGGAATATAGATTTATTTCTTGCTTTGTAAGCTGTAGATTTTTTGGAAGCTGATACACCTAAAATCCTTTTTGATGAACTTCATATTGGCTTCCCTTTCACTACAAATTGTTTTTCAACTTCTCTCAGTTAATATCCATCATTGTTTTTCAACTTCAGTACAAATTGTTTTTTCAACTTCAACTATAAGAAAATGCTACAACATACAATATCTTTTGGATGGCCTTGACAAATAGCACCATGAATAAAATGAAAAAACTGGAAACAATTAAAACCATTGTCAATATTAAGATTTATAGCAGTTTTCTTTTATGTTTCTTGGTTTCTCTTTTGCATATTTTTATTTGTCTATCACCTGAATGTGTGATTGCCATGAATGATCATTGGAGAATCCTCTTTGAATGTTCTCAGGAGGGCTACCACACATATCGTGGTGGGTTTTGGAACTACTTCAGCATGGGTAAGAAATCTAATGTCTTCCTCTGTAGAACATGTAAAACTGTACAAAAGAATAATGTAAACATGTATGTACGTGAGAATTTCTGACATAATGGTGGAGAAACTACTTAATTTTCACTTAGAAAGCACAGTTGACTTTACGTTTTGGATTAGCAGTGCTGGCATGGGTGTTAGAAACCTGGGATTTGAGATGGTTCGTGTCACAAATTGTTTTTTTTTTGTTTTTTTCTTTTCGTCACCAGGGCCAATTACAAGGGATAAAGAGCTATGTAGAGGGAAGAATTAGGTGCACTGAAGTTAAGATCAACACCTTGAAGGGTTCCTTTATAATTTTTATCTTGGAAATGTTCTCTGAGACTTTATGTGTGGCATAAGCCTCACAATGTAAGTCTATATGATTGTCCTTGTTTAGATTTGTAAATGGAAATTATCCATTCCAATCTTAATGCAATAGGATCTATTCTTTATTAATTGAAGTATTATTTAACCTTAGAAGTTCCTAAGGTCCTATTGGAAACCAAGTTTAGTGCTTAAGCCTTATGGGTAACCAAAGGTTCCTAGAAGTCCTTAGAAGAAGATAAGGTTCTTGCTGTTTTAAGAACTATACCTAAAAGTGAAAACTTTTTGTTGGTTGGTGCAACAACTATTCCAAGTATAGTTGTTTAATCTTGGAACTTTTTTTTTCTTTTGCAGGAATGGATGCTCAAGTGTCATATGCTTTTCACTCTGAGAGGAAGCTACACCCAGAAAAATTCAAAAACCAGTTAGTCAATCAGGTATCTATATTTCTTCTATTCTGTTCAGAAACAATGTCAAACATAAGTCACCCAGTCTGCTTTCCCCTTCACAGATCAAACAAGAAGGTTAATTATAATAAATAGTACTCTGCAGTAGTAAAACAGCAGAGATTAGGTTAAACTATTGGGTTTTGCGCTTCCTCCCAAAAAAAGCAGTAAATCTATTGACTTCATTGATATTGCTTGAAGACTAATCTCATAATATGTATCTGCCTATGAGATTTGTTTGATGTGGGATTTACTTTGTTTGTTTTCCTAAGAAGCATTACTTAATTTCTGACTCTT